TTAATTAAAAAATAAATAATATAATGTAGAGGCCACTTTTATATTGTGATAAAGCCAAAGTTCATGGACTGCTCTCCGGAAAACTGTCAACAAAGGCAAACAGAGAGCCTCCAGAGAAAAGAAAGTCACTACATGGCCTGAATGATTTATATCGAAATCAAAACCATCAAGTGAGGACTGTAAGATGGATCAATAGCTTAAAATGGTTTCAAATGAACAATCTGTGCCATTCTTCTACTCTAGTCTTGAAAGAAAAAAAAAGCAGAAAACACCCTTTACAGTCTTTTAATGAGACTGTTATTCCATTAATTATTTGAGGCAGTTTTTGTTTCACTGGAATTAATTAACATGAACCCTTCTTCTTGAAGCTCCAGCTGCATCTGATGTCACTGTGTTATGCCAGTGATGAATAAAAACCAAAGCACAACGGGCTACTTAAGGAATTAAATTGACAAAAGCAAAAATCATTCAAAGAAACAGTTCCAGTGCTTTGGCTGAGATCTACTTGTCTATTTATTGACCACATTTTGAATAAACTCAATCTATACAATTTGAGACTTCCAAAATCTTAAATGCCTTCCAACAGAAGCAATTTTCAAGCTGGAATCATGGATAGTGGCACTACTCCACCTATTTCACACATACATATTTAAGTAATTAATTTGCTCAGATTTACTAAATCCACTATAACCTGCAATAGCTATCTTAGAATATCATGAAAAATAACTATAAGCAAGTCAAGAAGAATAAGGATGTTTGAGACCTACCTGGTAATACAAGTAGTAACAGCACTATGAAGCAATCCACTGAAGCCACTGTAGCCTGAGTTCAATCCCAGGCCAGGGAGCTGACCAACACAGTGCAGCAAACCTGTCCTGTCTCACCACCTGCTCCCCTCAGCAGTGTGTTTCAGTGGATCTACCTGTTCTACTCCCCACTCTGTCTCTGGTGAAATTATCACCTCTTCTCTCTGCAACTCTGGCATACACCCCATTCTTGTATGCATAAATAAAATATTTTAAAAAAATGAATAAGGCATTGCTGGTGGGAATGCAAACTAGTACAACCACTATGGAAAACTGTTTGGAGGTTCCTCAAACTGCTAAACATGGAGCTTCCCTATCCCCCCGCACCTCTGGCCTGTACCCTAGTTCAGTTCTGTATGCATAAATAAATAAATCCTTTAAAAAAAGCAATTTTGGTACTGGTTTAGATTTATTAAAACAAGAATATTTTTGTAGGCATTTTAATATTTCTTTCAGTCTAGTACCTTGACTCTGTTACTATACTTTTCCCCTTCACTATCCATCCATGTTCACTGTTTTGTTTTTTTGAGTTTGGTATCTCCATGTGAACACATTCAAAGTTCCTTTACTTCACTTGTTCTACTTTATGTTGGGTTTGTGAATACTATTCTAATATTAGTTAGTATTATGATCTTTTTTTTTTGAAAAGATTGATTTATTTATGTGTACAGATCTGGGGTAAAGGCCAGAGGTGCAGTGATGGTGAGAGAATTCAGCAGTGACAGAGTGGGGAGCAGAACAGGCAGACTGACAAAGTACACTGCAGCAGGTGAAACAGAAGTCAGCAGCGCCATGTGGGTCAACTCCCTGGTCAGGGATTGAACTTATGCTGAGGTGGCTGCCGCTATCTTCCTGATGCTGAGCTTTAACCCATTGTGCCACCAGGGAGGGTCCAATAATAGGAACTTTTTGCCAGCATGTTTTTTCAGATTAAAATGTTGAATTCAGGGCAAAATGCCTTTTAAACATAATTACTTCCTCCTTTCATTATTTTTCCCTGTTTTTAAAAAATACATGCATCTCTTTTATTGAAGAAGCATTGGCTTACAACATTATGTATGTGTTAGAGATGCAGACTCTCCCCCTTCACGTGTTGTTACTACAGCATACCCACCACCAAAACACCCCAAATCTTCCGTAGTCCATTGAGTCGCCTGCTTACTTGGGTCTCTTCTCTCCCACTTCACTGCCCCTCTCCCTCTGGGAGCCTCACTGTTCTATAGGTTTGTTGTTGGCTTAACTTTATCTGGCCCTTTCCTTTCCTGTTTTCAAGTTCTCTGTATTGTACTAGCCACATACAAGTGACAACATCTGGTATTTGTCTTTCTCTTCTGACTTATTTCACCTAGAATAAGACCCTCCAGCTCCATTCATATGGTTGCAGATGGCAAGAGTTTATTACTTTGCAAACTGAGCACTATAAAATCTGTACGTTTAGAAACTTTCTGGAAATAATTAGATTGTAGTGATAGTTCATTAATATCTCTGAGTACATAAAATACATTTTTATAATATTTTCTCTGAGAAAGAGATATGTATCAAGTAGATTAAAACTATAAACAGATTAAAAATTGACCTTGACTTTTGAGAATGTATGTCTTGGTATCTTCAAAAGTCACCTGTATTTATATACTACTGTGCCATAGAAATTTCCCCATTAAAATGTGAGAAATTACTGAAAATTGTACTATTTTGGACCCTTCATGAGAGTTTATGTACCTTGTTATTCTTACTGTATTCCTGAGTTTAAGATATTCAGGGATTGATTATTATAATATCCTTAGTTATATTAGAATTAATACTATTCAAATATACTTTTATATGTATTCAAAATTTGACATTACTGATGACCAACCTTCAAAGACCTGAAAGTAAATATAGTGAAATAATTTTAGAGTCTGCTGTTTTGACAAGAAAACGTAAGTACCTCTTTATTAACAAATAGTATATACAACTGTTATGCGTGATACTCAGCTGATGGTTAAGTTTTCTCAGTTTAATTAAAGCTTCTCATCTGTATTTTGTTTAGGAAAACAGTGACAATGGGAATGAAAGCCTGACGTGGCAAGAGCAAATCCTTGAAAATGAAGAACCCATTGCTCTTAGCAGAAAGGATAGAACCATTCAACATGTGGAAGTGTTTTGTTATGCCAGGTATGAAAAGTAATTATTTAGGATAAACAGTAAGAATTTATATTCACTAATTGCTACATATCTAATTGAAATGCCAGTTTGCCGTCTTTAAAATGTGACTTTCAGTTTTCTCTGCTTAGATGAAAATAATAATAGCAGCAACATTGTATATTAATGCTTTATAATTTACCAAGCTCTTTTAGATAATTACCTTATTTGATCTGTAAATAATTTTGAACTAGGATAAAGCTGATAGTATTAGTTGTATTTTTTTGTAAAGAATCCCTAGTGGAGCACAAAGAAATTAATTTGCTGAAGACCCTATGGATTGATAAGTGTCAAGACTGTACCAAAACTGTATATTGGTACAGCCCAAGGTTAAAACCCAAAAGTTTTAAAATTGTTGTCCAGTGTTCTTCCAATGATACCATTCTTTTTAAATATTTAATGTAACAAATACAAAAATTATAATTTTGAATTAAAAAAATCAAATTTTATCTTCTGATCTCTGGTCAGATGTCTTATCCATTCATGGCACAAATGGCACAAGGGACCATGGTGATGGACTACAGGTGCTTTAGTAGTGGGAGACCTGTGGTGACCACATCTGAGGAAAGAAATCATATACAGCCAACCATTAACATGGATGCATGAAAAAGCAGCTTCATTAAAAAATAAAACAAAATTTTAAGTCTAATCTGTCATAAATAAAATTAAAACAATCCTAGCTTTCTTAGACTTTTAGATCTCCATGCTAGGATCCCACAGAAATATTACCATTTGAAATTCAAATTTACAAAACAAAACATTTTTTTTTAAAATGTTGTACACTAGAAGATGACTATTAAGCAGAAAAGATCTGAGAAATAAGAGCTGCGTATTTATATTACTGCCTCAGTCCCATATTTTAAGTGTACATGGAAAACTGCTTCAGAAGTAAGCTGCCTCAAAATTTTAAAGCACACAAAAGCTCTACTTAAAAAAAAAAATCAAATCCAGTGGGTATCACATTTGGATATATATTTTTGTGAATTAGAGTAGAACAGTGGGAGCTAAGAATTTTTAAGTGTCTCCTGAGAGAATTTATTTTTTGAAACAACTGAAATAGTTTATTTTTTTCAGATTACATGGTTGATAGGCTAAAAAGTAACAATCACTTAGCTTAGTGCAATCATTCAATTAGTTATGGATTCTTGAGGTTTAGAGTATCAGATTGTCAGGCTCTTTAATAGTAATCAAACTTTAAAATACACAGCACAAGAGATTTCTTTTGAATCTGCTCCACCATCTTTAATATCCTGGTGTCAGTTATGGTTAAGTATTGTGACCAGAACTCACAAGAAGTGGTTTATTGCCTTAATCTGTGTTAATCTTGCACTTACCTAGCATTTTTCTTTGAATAGTTAAATTTCTATGATTTTCTGCACAAAATAACTTTTGAAATGTTAAGATAAAAATTGTAATTTACATAATGGTAAATGTCATTCTTATATAACTGACATTGTATAAAGTCAGTGTCGAAAGATTTGTAACAGAATGTGATCTCAACTGAAAAATCATATACTTCAATGAAGCCAGGAATAAATATTTAGTAACATTCTGTGTGTCCATGAATATTACTTTATAATATAGTGACAGTCACACTGTGGTCCTTTGAGAAGTACTTTTTGATATTTCAAGAACTCTTATGTCTCTCTTCTTCATGACATTTGAGGTTTTTGGTTTCTAGTTACTGGCACATTATATTGCAGAGGAAACATCTCATATTCAATTTCTGACCTCTTCTGTTTCATTTTTGTAGCTTCTCAAAGTAAGAATGTAAAGATCAGTGGTTGAAAATTTGTTCCACAAAGAAGTGTGTCTCAGCTATATGGTCTTCTCATTTGACCTCCTAGGATTGTGGGGTAACAGGTGTACTGAGATAATATTCTATATGTGTTTATTTATTTACTTGGAAAAATCAGCTGTTATTTAAAGTCATAGTAAGCAAGAATACCACTGGAGATCATCTAGTGGAGTAATGTACAGAAAATCTACTTGTCCATAATAAGTGCTTATGAACATGAGTAAACAGGAATGATAAGAGCTTACTTAGCTCGAGCCAGACTGGCATCCTTAATCTTTTGCATCATCACCACAAAGTTAGAATTATGTGAAAGTGATAAGACCAGAAGAGCTATTATTACAGATTTATTTTACATGAAAGAATATCACCCAGGATCTACTGAATCAAATAAAAAGTTTGCTTAATACATATTTCTTATAATAATGTGGTTTCTTTCCCCCTACATAGTAGTTTAAAACAGTAAATAGGAAGGGGTATCTGTTAGAGGCAAATACACCAACATCCATAGTAAGACCAGGGTTGTAGTTCTGTCTTTATTGTTCAACTTCTATGAAATATTGGTCCCTGTTTTATGTTGTTGTTATTTTACATGTTACTTGATAAACTAACAGAAGAGAAGTAGATGGCATCTGCAAGTTGAGGGCAGGCTTTGGGCCATTCATAGTAGAGGTAAATGACTTGTACAATATGATCACTCAAGGATATCACTGTTATAACACTCTGTAACGATTGCTGATCATAATTATATCTTGATACTTTACAGCAAAAGGTAAATTGTTTCTATCATCTACTTGAAAAGGTAAGGGGATTTGAAATACAGTTTAGATAGAAGAATATTTAAAATGATTAGAATAAAAATTAAATCATTTTAAGAGATTAGCTTTGATTATCTAGAAAATTTTCTCATTTTCTCCCAGAGTAAGAAAGTAATGCTATCACTATGTAGTAGATCTTTGATTATCTTTTGGGAAATATCCTAAAATCTTTGTAAATATCCTTTTGTACATAATAAATAAGAAATATGATACAGGTTTCTGGCTTTTTCTTGTTGCTTTTTTTTTGGTATATGTGTTACTGATGTTCCTGTTACATTTTATGGATGGAGGATGGAGGATATGTATGTGTGTGTCTGTGTGTGTGCATTTACTTCTCTATAACTTTACATATGTGGGTTTATGTATCATCACAATCAACTTAGCGAGCAAATGGTTCTATCACCTTATCTTCTTCCTACATTCCTCTTCATCTCTAAATCCTGGCATCCCAATCTGTTTTCTAGTTCTGTAATTTTGGCATTATAAAATGTTGTATAAATGTGACTATATACTATGTAATCTTTTGTTATTAGCCTGTCTCATTCTGTATATTTACCTAGATATTCATTCAGTTGCATATTAATGATTTTTTTTCACTAGCCACTTTCAATAGTCTTTCTTAGTCTTGAGCTTTTGATGTAGATCTTAATACATTTAGATAACCAGGTATTCCTTTAACTTCATGGACTTGTACATTTAGTTCCTTCCCTTCCCCAAATTGCCAGAGCAGCAGTCCTAACCCAAAAAAAAAAAAAAAAAAAAAAGGACTAACAGTCAACAATGGTATCATATTCTCAAGCTATGAGCTATTCTACAAAGCTGTGGGAATCAAAATAATATGGTATTGGAATAAAATTAGACACAGAACAATGAAATAGATTTGAGTCCAAGAATAAACTCATGTTTATATAGGAAGTTAATCTTTGACAAAGGAACCAAGAGTATACATTGGAGAAAGGAAAGTCTTCAACAAATGGTACTGGGAAAACTGGACCACTGTCTCATACTATACACAAAAATTATATCCAAATGGACTAAGCACTTGGATGTAAGAACTAAACATAAAATACATGGAAGAAAACAGACAATACACTCCATGACATTGACTTCATGGATGTCTTTGGTGACTCTACTCCAGCAGTGAGAGAGAAAAAATAAAAGTAAGCAAATGGGACTACATCAAGCTAAAAATCTTCTGCAGACTGAAAGAATCTGAAATTAAAATGAAAAGACATCCTACTTAATAGAGGAAAATGTTTGCATATCATATATCTGACAAGGCGCTGTCCAAGGATGGCAAGAAGTCATACAAATCAATAACAACAAAAAAGTAAAAATATGTTCCAAAAAACTAAATAGAAACTTTTCCAAAGAAGAACTACAAATGACCAAGAGGTTCATGAATTAATGCTCATAATCACTTAATCTTCAAGAAGGTGTACATGAAAACCAAACCACAATGAGGTACCTTCTCACTTGTGATAATGGCCATATCAAACAGATCTGAAACAACAAATGCTGGTGAGCATGTATAGAAAATGGAACCCTTGTAAACCACTGGTGGGCATGGAGACTGATCAGCCCTTGTGGAAAATTGGTTTAGAGGTTTCTCAAAAAATAAAAATCTATCATAGAATCCAAGAGTTTCTCTCCGTAGTATCTACCCAAAGAATGCAAAAACACTTAATTTGAAGAGACCTGTTCCCTCGTAGGTTCATTGCAGCACAATTTGCTATAGCCACCCACATCATGGGAACAATATTAAGTGTTTAAGTAGATACAGATCTACACACACTCTGAAATAAAAAAAAAAAGATGAAGCTTTTCTAGTTGCAGCAACATAGAGAGAACTGGACAGATTTATGCCAAGCAAAGTCAGAATGTCAGAAGACAACTACCATATGGTTTCTCTCATAGGTATAATAAGAGAAAAAAAAAAACAAAGGAACAGACAAAACCAAACCAGTAACAAGCCCTAGAAAAGCGATTATAGAATTGAGGCTACCAGAAGGGGAATGGGAAGGGTAAGAAAAAAAATAGGGAGGGGACCTAATATACTACAGTCAGAGGACTATGGTTTCCTTTTTGTGGGTGTGATAACACACATTTGAAGAGGAGTGACCCTATACTTCTGAATTATATAAAATATTTTAGTGTTACCTCAATGAAATATGTATTTTGTGTGTGTGTATATTTAGACTAGTTTGTTTTATTATTGCTGAGTAGTAATCCATGTAATGGATGACCAGATAATTTGTTATTTAGAGATAATTGGCCAAAATCTGTGGTTTGATTCGTATATATGTTACTTTATATTTTTTTCAAAGAATAAGAAAATATATATCTCTTGGCCATAGCCA